CCGCTGCCTCCAGAAAGCTTTCGGGGCCCCTCCAACGTGTGTTTTGGCATTTCCTTCCTTTACCCATCACCCACCTGGGGTGGAAAAAGTAAATCCCATCCTGCTGGAGCTGCCGCATCCTTCCCCAGTGGTGCTGGAGCCCCGCGAAGGGCTGCGTGCCCCCAGCGCTGGGGTTCAGGGGACGCTGATGCCCTCTCCTTGCAAATCACTGCTGAAAAAGGCTGTGTGTCCTTCCTGTTTCCTATGGGATGTGGCATGCCCGTTTCCTATGGGATGCCAGAGACCCTGCACCAAGAAAAGCTGCTTCCCCCGGCTCTCATTCCCACTGGGAGCACCGCTCCAGCATCCAGAGGGACCCACGACTGCTCATTCAGCTGAACATCCCGTTTGCTTTCTGCATCGGCATTTCGGAATTCTCCCTAAATTTAAGCAAACATTTAACTGATGACTTCAGACAAACATCCCTGACTTTTGTTCCCATGTCCATTGTGCTCCAAGAGGAGCCAAATCTCAGCGCCATGAATTGCTCAAGCTTGACATGACTGGTTAAAAAAACACCGAGATGACAAATCCGGTGTCTTTTGTTGCCCTGTAACGAATGAGTCAGGCAGAGGGAAACTGGAATAAGCCATCAAAGAGACGGAGAGAAAAGGCAGGCACCTGCTTAATCCTGTTCTCCACGAACGCAGATAACCCCCAAATACTGCTGGGAGTTTAAAGGTTGGTCCTATTAACCCGGAGCTCACGCGCTTGGTTTCACAGCCTGAGAGCATCCTCCCAGCCCAGAGGGAAGGGGGTTTGCATGGAAGGAGGGGCCACTGCTGCTGGGGCACCCTCCAGCCCTGTCACAGGCACAAATCCTGACCACGTGGCTAATTCTTGATACCCAAAGGGGATAAATCACAGGTATTGTGCGTGCAAAACAGGACCAAGGCTTATAAGGAGCCATTTCCCTGCCCAGCCCCATTTACACAAGCCTTTCCCCAAGCACACCCGGAGGACCCCAGCCCTGGTCGCTCCCCGGGTCTGTGTTATCCCGGGATGTAGGTGCGGGATGGGCTCGGACAGGGCTGCCCCTCCTTGCGCTGCAGGGAGATGTTCTGCAAAGTCACAGCTCATAATCCCTGATAATAGGGATTAAAATTACACAACCCGTCAGCAGGGCTTCGGGTGCTTGTCTCGGAGAAGAGACACTTTGCTCCTCAGGGATGGGCTTGTCCGGGCTCATCATGTCCCTGGGAAAGGCAGATGCTGAAGCACAGAGATGCAGGAGCACTTTACACTCAAAACGGATTAAACCCCACATATAGGGGCAGGTTTAAACACCTCTGGTGCTGCTCTGGTCCTGCTGACATGGGCACACATTCAGTGCCTGCTTCCCTGCCAGCATCCCTCATCCAGAGGCACCTCCACCACCCGGCAGAGCTGCCCTGCTGCCACCTTGCCCTGTGCCACTGAATGAGGGATGGAGGATGGACAGAGGGATGGATGGATGGATGGATGGATGGATGGATGGATGGGGTCTGGGAAGCTGAGCCATGGAGAACCCAGATCTGCTCCCAGAGGACCATGAAGCATCACCCATTCCCTGGTGAAGGGGATGGCTGATGGTATCTCACCTTGCCCTATGGATGAACCCCGTGGCCTCCTCCGCATAGCGCGCTGCCAGGCTGCTGAGGTTGACGGGCTGCTGGATGATGGTGATGTTCTCAAAGAGAGGAAGGGCGACCTCCCTGTAACAGTCCTTCCTCGCCTCCCTGCTGGGAAGAAGCCACCTCACACTCATCATTGGAGCAGGGACCAGTGTGGGAGCAGGCACAGAGCCTGGGTGTTCTCCTGGCTTTACAGAGAGCCGAGGAGGGGAGAAGAAAGGGGACGATGCTCCTGCATGTCCCCGTGGCACAGGGTGCTCTGGGACTGACCCACCTTCCCACCCTGCACCCTGCTGCGGGGTGCACAGGGGGAAACTGGGTGCATGGAGCATAAGGGGAGGTGACCACAGTGGGTGCAAATACCCACATCCCAGTGCCAGCACTCAAGCCCCTCCATGTCCCCATACCTGGCAATGGAGCCGTGCCGCGGGCAGGGCGGGCAGGGCGGCAGGTTGTAGCCAGGGGTGTCCGTGCAGCCCATGTCATGGCTATAGGGGATCCCAAAATAGTAGTCGAAGCCTGAGGAGCAAGTGAGGGTGTCAGCAGGGACAACGCGACCACGGGGCACCCAGCTCATCCCGCTGGCACAGTCCTTACCGCGGAAGCTGGGGTGATGGTGGCCGTGGTGTCCCAGGTGCCATTTGCCTGCAGGAAGCCACAGAACATCATTTCAGGGGTTAACAGCCACCACCAGCCATGACCCACGAGGTGCCCACAGCCCTGGGGGCTTTAATCTAGCAAGAAGAAAGGCTCCTTGTTCGTGCTGGCTGCGGTTCCAGAATGCCTTCTTTTTTTTGCAGAAACCCAGAAGAAATGCAGAAGGTATCTCGTGCCTGTGCAAATCGGCTGCTTCCAGCCTCAAAAGACTCTTTCATGTGTTTGTGCTCAGAGGAGATGCCTTTCTAACCCCTCATGAACAACCACCTTCATCCTCTGACCTCCAGCACGTTTACTCCCACCAAATGCACAGATCCAAGAGGGAGAACTGCAAAAATTAGGGGGGAAAGGAGAATCCAAGGGCTTTTCTGCCAGCTGCAAAGGGCTTGCATGGGCTGGGGAGACACACAGTGACGGGAGGGTGCCCAAAGCCACGGGGCCGCTGGCACCAACCACGCTGGCACCATGCCGCCAACCAGCACCACCGGCATCACCCGGGATGCAGGATGGAACTGCTGCTGTGCACAGTCGTGTGTGTGTTAAGGGACACCCGGCTCATTCCTTGTGAGGTGAAGCACTTAGAGCTTAAATGGACAAGTGGGGAGGGCTGGAATTTCAGGTAATGTTGCACGTTTGAAAATGAAGAACATGATCCTTTCAACTTCCCTTTAATGGCCAGTATTCCATCCCTCCTCCCAGGGGACGGGCACGAGCATCTTCATCCCCCCACCATCTCCCACCCCAGATGCCCCTTGGCACAGCGGGTGTTACCTATAGCCCCCGTGCTGTACCCAGCTCCCCGCAGGACCTCGGCCAGGGTGGTCTCATTCAGGGGGAGGCCACCGACCGAGGTGATGGCGAAGTTGTGGGTCACCCCATTGCGTGCTCCAAGGCGCCCCGTGAGCAGCGAGGCGCGGGATGGGGAGCACGTGGATGCAGCCGAGTGGAAATCCACGAACCTGGAAAATGAAAGGACTCTTCACTTGCAAAGCCCTGAGTGGTCCAACCCTGCCCTGTCCCTCCCTGCTCCCCCGCAGGTGTCCCATTCTGCCCCAGGGATGAGGATCTGGAACAGATGATGCTCGCAGGTCCCAGTGGGGATGGATGGACCCGTGCTCTCCAAGATACCACAAGGTACCACGGGCATCACTCTCTGGCTGCCCTCCCCATGCACCCAAAACCACACCAATGAAATCCCTTTGCCTGCCAGTCCCATGGGAGTGAATTCCCCTTTGCTGCAGAACAGAGTAACCAGGATGCTTGGGAGAGAACCAGGGAGGGGGGACAGACGTTACCTTGTCCCTTCGGCAGCCAATTCATCCAAATGTGGGGTCTCCTTCGTCTCTGCCCAGTTGGCTCCCAGATCCCCCCAGCCCACATCATCCGCCAGGATGACGATGAAGTTGGGCTGCTTGTACGAGGCACAGGGAGCCCAGAGCCCCACCAGCGCCATGGCCAGCACCAGCACTGCCCATGGGGTCCCCATGGTGCCACACACCCCTTCCCACCCAGGCTGGGGCACCAGTGGCTTTGTCTTCCCCAAACTCCCTCCGCTGTGGATGCAGTTGCCCCACGGGCCCTCGCAGCAAAGCAAACGTCTCCTCCGTGGATGCTTCTATGAGGCCAGGCCGGGGTCCGGAGGTCTGGGTTTGCTCCCTTGGCTACAGACCGAGCTGCAGCATCTCCTCTGTCTTTCACACCAGCTGATATTCCTGCAATCGGCACTGGCAAAGGTGTTATTCTTAGAAGTAAAAACACCCTTTGAAGTCACTGTCACCCTATTTTTAACTCCCCTTCCTTCCTGGTAAATATCTAATTAGACACCAAACCCAAGCGGTGTTTTCCACTCCAGAAGCGCACTCGATTTGTGGCAGCGGCTCCTCTCCCCTCTCCGCAGCCGGGGGGATGTTTGTGTCCAACACCCGGCTCTCTCCCTGCAGGCTGTGCTCCTCAGCTCATGGAAGCACTGTCCTCTCCTGCTTTAGGTGGATAAATAACTGCTGCGGCTCTGCCGGCGACTCTCGGTGCATCCTTCACCTTGCACGGCTGCAGCATCCCCTGCGCAACGCAAACAAGACCCCATCAGGACGTGCTGGTGCTCCTGAACCCAGCGCAGGGCACAACACCGTACCCATACACTGAGACTTTGCCCTTGAAGCTGCACAGCACCACACGGGGACCGTGCAGGATCTTGCCTTCATCTGTAACAACTGACAAGTTCCTGAAGCTCATTTCTTAAGGCTGGCAAAGCAAATTATTCCCAGGATTCTCTGCTCATGCCTCTAAAAGCTTTGGGCTCTCGTTCAGATCAGCAGCTTTAGGACTGTCAGTGTAACGCTGCAGCGATCAGGATGTGGCTCCACTCATAATCCATACCCCAGAGAGTCAGGTTATTAACTTCCATCTGAGGGCCTTGAAGCTCTGGGTATGTTGATTAACAGGGATGGGATGTGGTGCTCCATGCTGGACCTCACCCCATCCCTGTGGGGTGGCTCTGCACCACACAACATGCACCAGGACCCCCCCATCGGCACCTGCAGCCACCCAGAGAAAACAAGCAAAACCCAAGGGAGCTGAACCCATATTCACCCACAAACCTCTGTCCTTTCCCTTTGCTTTGGGAAGGGGATGACCTGCTAACAAAAACAATCAAAACCATTTGCAAAGGACACTCTCTTCTCTCTAAATTACAGGGAAAATCATCCAAGGCTGAAATTTATGGGTTAGCATCAGACGAAACTTCTTGATCTCTGATGCTCAGAGTCCATTTGGAGGAGAGCTGGAACATGGCCCCTGGAAAGCGGGACGTGCTGGCACAGCTCTTGATGTGCTCCTGCAGAACCCTCCTCATGCACACCGTGTCCAAAACCAGCAGAGCACGAGGCCACCCCTTGGCATCAACTCCAGCGTGCTTTCTTCCAATCTCCTGGGCAGAGGCACCGCTCTGACCCTTTCCATCTTGAATTCCTAGGTAAGTCCTAGGAATGGTTGTGGGAAACCGCCATGGGATGAGCCCCACTGCCCCTCACCACCACACCAGCATCTCTGCTCCCCCATAGCTCTGCTAAACACAGCTCTTGATCCACCATCTCTTTGCAAAGAGAGCAAGTGACTCAGAAGAGATTCCCCCAGGCAGACTATGGATGGAACATGGGTGTTGCGGCACCTCTCTTGGTGCCAAGCAGGAAACACTGCACCCGTGGTGATGCTCCCTGGGCAGAATCACAGCCAGGAAGCACGGCAGAGGCCTTGGATAACCAGCGCTGGGCTGCGAGCACCGGCATCGCTCAGACTGGGCGCTGGGGACTTGGGCTTCCCCGGCACTCACCTTGCACCAGGGAGGAATGAAACAAAACCTAAACACACAAAGTGCATTTCTGCGAGGCAAACAAGGTGCTTCACAGAAGGACAAGGATAAGTCAGAACCAGATAAACCAGTTTAGACAAGTCCCAAAGCCTGCTCAGGCTGGCCCCAGGGCTGAGGAAGGGAGATGCCTCCTCGCTCAGGGATGCCACCGGCTGTACCACCACGGAGCAGCCGCGCTCGCCCGCCCCGCACTGGGAGTATCTGTCGTGTATTTATTACACATTAACCAGAAGTTTACAAATCTTGGGGCCAGCTCGATCATTTTCACATTTTTCACATTCTTTCACATTTTCACGCCTGCCTGGAGAGCAAAGCAGCAGCAGAGCACGGAAGAACCTGCCACCCTCTGAAGCATACCAGGTCCCCCACCAGCACCCGGGGTGTCCCAGCTCTGATCTCCAGCCCAAAGCCGCTCCAGCAGCCCTGTTCTCCTGCCAGAAGCCCAGCAGGCATCCCCCCATCCCGGCTGCAAGATAAGGACGCAGCAGGGGATGAGGAATTCAAACTGGAGCAGACACCCGCTGTTATCCCAGGCTCGTTTCGGGGGCTCCCAGTGTTGTCCCTTGTGCC